ACGTCACGCCAATCCGAGACCTCGCCTCTCACAGTGACTCGTTGTCTTCTGTTACTTAGGTCATCCCGTATCCAACGAAGTACCTTCCCTTTCACACTGGCCTGCATCTCCAGCTTTTTCACTAGCCTCTTGTGTGGTCCTGTATAAAAGGATTTTTGACAATCCAAAAATATGCAGTCTACCCACCCTTCTCTTTCTTGCCTTATTTTTGTTGCCTGGTCGTAGAATTCAATTAGCCCTGTGAGGCAGGACTTGCCGTCTCTGAACCCATGTTGATGCTGTGTTACAAAGTTCTTTCGCTCCAGATGTTCCACTAGCTTTCTTCGCACAATCTTCTCCATCAGCTTGCATGGTATGCAGGTTAGGGACACTGGCCTGTAGTTCAGTGCCTCCTGTCTATCCCCTTTCTTGTATATTGGAACTACATTAGCTGCCTTCCAAATTTCTGGCAGTTCCCCTGTTGCCAGTGATTTGTTATACACTATGGAGAGTGGCAGGCACAGTGCTTCTGCTCCTTCCCTTAGTATCCAAGGGGAGATTCCATCTGGGCCTATAGCCTTTGTCACATCCAACTCTAGTAAACACTTCTTTACTTCCCCGCTGGTAATCTCAAACTCTTCTAGTGGTTCCTGGTTAACTATTCCCTCTCTTATCTCTGGAATCTCTCCCTGCTCTAAGGTGAAGACCTCCTGGAATTTCTTATTCAGTTCCTCACACACTTCCTTGTCGTTTGTAGTGAATCCTTCTGCCCCTATCCTTATATTTCATTACCTGTTCCTTTACTGTTGTTTTTCTCCTGATGTGGCTGTGCAGCAATTTAGGTTGAGTCTTTGCCTTGCTTGCGATGTCATTTTCGTATTGTCTTTCTGCCTCTCTTCTCATCCTGACATATTCATTCCTGGCACTCTGGTATCTTTCTCTGCTCTCCAGTGTCCTGTTATTCCTATAGTTTCTCCATGCCCTTTTACTTTGCTGCTTAGCTAGCCCACATCTCTGATTAAACCATGGGTTTCTCATCTTCATTTCATTGGTTTCCTTTTGGACTGGGACAAACTTGTTTGCTGCCTCCTTGCACTTGTGCGTGATGAAGTCCATCATGTCTTGGGCCGTCTTTCCCCTGAGCTCTGTTTCCCATGTTATATCTGTTAGGAATTTTCTTAACTCCTCATAGTTTCCCTTTCGGAATGCCAGTTTTTTGTTTTCAGTACCCCTCCTCGAGTTCAATAACCCTTCCTCAACCAGATACTCAAACGCCAGTACATTGTTCATTCCTACTGGGCCCTCATAGCCGATTTCCCTTATGTCGGAGTCGTTCAGAGTGAAGACTAGGTCGAGTCTCGCTGGTTTATCGTTTCCTCTCATCCTTGTGGGTTCCGTGACATGTTGGCTTAGAAAGTTTCTTGTCACCACCTCCAATAGTTTGGCTCTCCATGTATCCTTGCCTCCATGCGGTTCCTCGTTCTCCCAGTCCATCTTTCCGTGATTGAAGTCGCCCATGATGAGCAGGTGCGATCTATTTCTACAGGCAGCAGAGGCTGCCTTCTCAATTATAGTGTTAACTGCCATGTTGTTGTTGTCATACTCTTGCCTGGGTCTTCTGTCATTGGGTGGAGGGTTATATATCACTGTTACTACTACTTTTGGTCCTCCCAATGTCATGGTTCCTGTTATGTAGTCTCTGAATCCCTCGCAGCCCGGGATGACCATCTCCTTGAAGCTCCATTCCTTTCTCATTAATAGGGCCACTCCACCTCCTCCCCGTCCTTCCCTCTCTTTCCTTATTACAGTGTAGTCCTGGGGAAACACCGCATTCGTTATGACGCCTGAGAGTTTTGTTTCTGTGAGTCCGATTACATCTGGATTCACTTCTTGTGTTCTTTCCCGTAGTTCACTTGCCTTGCTGGTGATCCCATCTATGTTCGAGTACATCACCCTCAAGCTGACTCTCTTCTGTCCTTTCTCAGATCCTATTGCTTCCCCTGAAGCAGGGAAACAGGGAGGGACTGGGAGAGGGGGCCTATGAAGGGTGTGTGTGTGTATGTGAGTGTGTGTGTGTGTGTGTGTGTGTGTGTGTGTGTATAATGGCCACAACAGCTGTATAACTCCCAGGTACCTGTTATTGCTAGATGAACAGAATCATCAGGTAAAAGTAAACGTTGCCCAAATAATTCCATACTGTCGTGGAGACCAAACCCACGAGATTCAATTCTAAGCGGATGACGCAGCCCACTGCGCCACAGGGCAGAGATGCCCCCAGGCGACAGGTGCTCCACCAGCCGAGGTCGTTATGTAAACCTGGTGATTTATGGGAAGACTTTGTTGTAAACTTGCCACTGACTCCCGGGACACGTCACTAAGGTCATCCTGTTCCCAGAGGCAAAGTTGGGCACACGAGAGGCGAGGTGCTCCTTAATGATGAGTCGCGGTGAGTTATGGCTTAGGGACTGGGGGGGTGGGGGTGAGGGGATGGGAGGGGGTGGTGAGGGGGGCGGGGGTCGTCCCCGGGGTCGGTCCCCCCCCCCCCCTATCCGCCAGCCGTCAGCACGTAGAGCTAAGCACATAATAACGACTCAAAGAATTAGAAGCCAAACTGCATATATATAATTATATCAAAACATGTTAAAGAGCTTAAAACAGTCTTACCGAGAGATATATAAATCAATTAACATCTGGTTTAAGACTAAGTTAATCTTTGTGTTTGTCTACTGCTCACAGCGTAGCAGTTATGAGCTGTGGTGCAGAAGGTGCCCGGCGCTGCTCTCAACAGTTATGAGCTGTGGTGCCCGGCGCTGCTCTCAACAGTTATGAGCTGTGGTGCCCGGCGCTGCTCTCAACAGTTATGAGCTGTGGTGCCCAGCGCTGCTCACAACAGTTATGAGCTGTGGTGTCCAGCGCTGCTCTCAACAGTTATGAGCTGTGGTGCCCGGCGCTGCTCTCAACAGTTATGAGCTGTGGTGCCCGGCGCTGCTCTCAACAGTTATGAGCTGTGGTGCCCGGCGCTGCTCTCAACAGTTATGAGCTGTGGTGTCCGGCGCTGCTCTCAACATTTATGAGCTGTGGTGCCCAGCGCTGCTCACAACAGTTATGAGCTGTGGTGTCCAGCGCTGCTCTCAACAGTTATGAGCTGTGGTGCCCGGCGCTGCTCTCAACAGTTATGAGCTGTGGTGCCCGGCGCTGCTCACAACAGTTATGAGCTGTGGTGCCCGGCGCTGCTCTCAACAGTTATGAGCTGTGGTGCCCAGCGCTGCTCACAACAGTTATGAGCTGTGGTGCAGTAGGTACCCGGCGCTGCTCACAACAGTTATGAGCTGTGGTGCAGAAGGTACCCGGCGCTGCTCACAACAGTTATGAGCTGTGGTGCCCGGCGCTGCTCACAACAGTTATGAGCTGTGGTGCCCAGCGCTGCTCACAACAGTTATGAGCTGTGGTGCAGTAGGTACCCGGCGCTGCTCACAACAGTTATGAGCTGTGGTGCAGAAGGTACCCGGCGCTGCTCACAACAGTTATGAGCTGTGGTGCCCGGCGCTGCTCACAACAGTTATGAGCTGTGGTGCAGAAGGTACCCGGCGCTGCTCACAACAGTTATGAGCTGTGGTGCAGAAGGTACCCGGCGCTGCTCACAACAGTTATGAGCTGTGGTGCCCGGCGCTGCTCTCAACAGTTATGAGCTGTGGTGCCCAGCGCTGCTCTCAACAGTTATGAGCTGTGGTACCTAGCGCTGCTCACAACAGTTATGAGCTGTGGTGCAGTAGGTACCCGGCGCTGCTCACAACAGTTATGAGCTGTGGTGCAGTAGGTACCCGGCACTGCTCACAACAGTTATGAGCTGTGGTGCAGTAGGTACCCGGCGCTGCTCACAACAGTTATGAGCTGTGGTGCAGTAGGTACCCGGCGCTGCTCACAACAGTTATGAGCTGTGGTGCCCGGCACTGCTCACAACAGTTATGAGCTGTGGTGCCCGGCGCTGCTCACAACAGTTATGAGCTGTGGTGCCCGGCGCTGCTCACAACAGTTATGAGCTGTGGTGCCCGGCGCTGCTCTCAACAGTTATGAGCTGTGGTGCCCAGCGCTGCTCTCAACAGTTATGAGCTGTGGTACCTAGCGCTGCTCACAACAGTTATGAGCTGTGGTGCAGTAGGTACCCGGCGCTGCTCACAACAGTTATGAGCTGTGGTGCAGTAGGTACCCGGCACTGCTCACAACAGTTATGAGCTGTGGTGCAGTAGGTACCCGGCGCTGCTCACAACAGTTATGAGCTGTGGTGCAGTAGGTACCCGGCCCTGCTCACAACAGTTATGAGCTGTGGTGCCCGGCACTGCTCACAACAGTTATGAGCTGTGGTGCCCGGCGCTGCTCACAACAGTTATGAGCTGTGGTGCCCGCCGCTGCTCACAACAGTTATGAGCTGTGGTGCAGAAGGTACCCGGCGCTGCTCACAACAGTTATGAGCTGTGGTGCCCGGCGCTGCTCTCAACAGTTATGAGCTGTGGTGCCCGGCGCTGCTCTCAACAGTTATGAGCTGTGGTGCCCGGCGCTGCTCACAACAGTTATGAGCTGTGGTGCCCGGCGCTGCTCACAACAGTTATGAGCTGTGGTGCCCAGCGCTGCTCTCAACAGTTATGAGCTGTGGTGCCCGGCGCTGCTCACAACAGTTATGAGCTGTGGTGCCCGGCGCTGCTCTCAACAGTTATGAGCTGTGGTACCTAGCGCTGCTCACAACAGTTATGAGCTGTGGTACCTAGCGCTGCTCACAACAGTTATGAGCTGTGGTGCCCGGCGCTGCTCTCAACAGTTATGAGCTGTGGTACCCAGCGCTGCTTACAACAGTTATGAGCTGTGGTGCCCAGCGCTGCTCACATGGTAAGTGTGTTAGAGGAGACGGGGGGCGGCGCAGCTCCCACAAAGTGCCTCAGGAACGGAAAAATGAGACGGCACAGAATTATATTTTAGGATTAGCAACAAAAACACGGTAACTGGTGCCAGGGCCGCCCGCCGCTAGTTTATGTGAGGCCGCATAAACACTCCACACACACCGTGTATTTCTCACGGCAAGACCCGTACTCGGGGCCCCCGGCGTGGTGGTTGGAGCCGCCACCGTGGTTGTAGGAGCCGCCACCGTGGTTGTAGGAGCCGCCACCGTGGTTGTAGGAGCCGCCACCGTGGTTGTAGGAGCCGCCACCGTGGTTGTAGGAGCCGCCACCGTGGTTGTAGGAGCCGCCACCGTGGTTGTAGGAGCCGCCACCGTGGTTGTAGGAGCCGCCACCGTGGTTGTAGCAGCCGCCACCGTGGTTGTAGCAGCCGCCACCGTGGTTGTAGCAGCCGCCACCGTGGTTGTAGGAGCCGCCACCGTGGTTGTAGGAGCCGCCATCGTGGTTGTTCTTGGTAAGGTGCTTAACAGACACAACTTGGAGAGTCGCAGTGTTGTGGTCAGCCCAGATGTCTTCAGGGACCAACCAGAGACCCTCGAGGATCAGTCCTGGAACCATGACTGATCTTTGATTTCTCACTTATATTAATGACCCAACTAGAGGGGAAGAGTCCTGTATGGCCAGGGTGCAGATGGTTGAAGAGTAATGAGTCGAGATTGATAAACATTGAAAAAATGAATAAACAAGAAATCCTCGATAAGTTACAGAGTTGGATCAAGATACAGGTGCTGGAGCAGCAGGTGTTGGGGGGTGAAGATGGAAGGCCAGCAGGGAGGAGCACCAACAATGGGAACTACTCCCATTTGTAATGGGTATAGACAGAGACCTGTAAGTGGACCGAACACCAAGTCTCACTCCAGAGGCACATACAAAAAAAGAATAACGTTAAAAGCATATTCTAAACTGGCGATTTTATAGAGTTTGCAGCACTAATGTGAGCCCACAGGTCAAAAAATACATTTTAAAGGCTGAAAAGAAAATTCAGATCTGCAACATATGATGCCCCAGAACTACAAGGGCTCGGGTAGGAAGAAAGACGGAGAGAACTGGACCAAACGTCGCTACACAAGAGGAGAGAGGAGACATGCTACAGCCTTATGTCACTATTTACCTAATATTATTCTGATAAAAACAAAATAATAATATTTATATGGTTCTATGTTTCTTAAACTTCCGTCTATCCACACATTTCCTCTTCTTCCACTCTCTCAATCCTGATTGGATTGACAGAGAATATATACACACTGGTGGACAGTGTATACACACTGGTGGACAGTGTATACACACTGGTGGACAGGGTATACACACTGGTGGACAGTGTATACACACTGGTGGACAGTGTATACACACTGGGGGACAGGGTATACACACTGGGGGACAGGGTATACACACTGGTGGACAGTGTATACACACTGGGGGACAGTGTATACACACTGGAGGACAGTGTATACACACTGGGGGACAGTGTATACACACTGGGGGACAGTGTATACACATTGGGGGGACAGAGTGTATACACACTGCGGGATATAGAGTGTATATTGTTATGATTGCCGTCAGATAACAGGTATTTCTGGCCTCAAGAGTCATTTTTACCCAGCTAGAAAGATCGCAGACGGGCCATGTGGGAAATTTTTACCCACCATATCTAATTATCATCTAAGAAATGTATAATTTCTGTATCATATCAAAATCATATCTAAAATCATATCAGAATCATTATAGATTCATTATGCAGTTTGATCCTAGAAGATAATGCCACTTGGATCCCATACGCATAGGGCCCTATAGATGCCTACGTGACTTTGTGCATGATCTCTTATGGATCCAGAAACTTCTAGAAGGATTTTATAATTAAAAAATTATTGGAACATTGATTCAATATCCGGTAGGGATAAAAATCGAATCCTTAATAAGAATCAGTGGTACTATCAAGTACTACTTATAATCTTTATATCCTATATCAAATTATATTATAATTACAGCTTATCTCAATCATAAGTCTAGACTGTAAAAATAATCAATCAATATTCATAGAAGACTTCCGTGCTCGGGGAGCATGGGAAGGGATCTGGGTCAGAAGCGTCCACGAGAGCCGAGGAGGACCACGCGTTTGTTGACAACTGTGAACACGTGTGAGGATCCTTAGCGAACATTACCAGCTCAAGGACACCCATCTAATATCTTTATCACCAGTGAACACTCTCTAGAATTGGGGGAGTACCTGGACAATATCTACAAAGAAAATCCTAGAACATTTATATAAAATAGGAGTGTATAGTGGAGCTCATAGTGACACGGTTTCCACCACCTTCATTCCTAATCTTCAGCAACTATCATTCTTCTGCAACTGCAGGGTCAATCACGTAGCAACGCTACCAGTACATCATACAGCAACGCTGTGACAAAATATCATGCCTAAACTCAACAAGAGAGTTAATCAGTCTGGCTCCTTGTCAGACAGGCACCCCGACTGGCAGAGAAGTATATTGAAGGTTATTTGGTATATGATTGGCCAATTGTATGCTTGTGTGACTTTAATATCCTATAAATCTGTCTGTTGGTTAAAAAGCGAGGCTAAGCCTCACATTTCAGTAAGTTTATTAATATTGTAGATGAGCAGCAGGTCCTTGTCCAGGCACTAAACCTCATGAGTGTCCAGTTGTCAGAAAAAGATTCAGTCGCAATGCGAAAATAAAGTCTCATGAGTGTCCATTGTGTGGAAAAGGATTCAGTCAAGCTGACTACATAATCATATAAATTTAACATAAATATGTCTGCATATATATTTGAATATATAAATAAAGTTAACAATTGCTTGCTTAGTTAATTTATAAGTTATCATACAAGTTCATTTACTTGAATAATATCTAGTACTTAGTTAAGTGCTTAGACTACATTTAAAGTCATTTATTATACTTTTACAATTTAATTTGTTTATAGTATAAGAACCTATTGGCTGTTAGTTATGGTGCTAGGTTAGACTATGTATGTTTAAATCTCTGATTTAAACAGAGCCAGTGTTCAGTCATATAACTGAATTTATCAAATCTTATCCTTGTATAATATACAAGCTGATGTGAGATCCCTGTCTACAGGTGGACTGGAACTTCTATCAACTAATCCATTCATCCCACCTGTCCCTCACAGCCCACAATCTATCATTAGGAAAAGAGGAGCTAGGATTTACGACCCTAGCTAGAGATTCTTGGAATTAATTTGCAGACAGTAATTTTTTAATTTAGTTCAGTCCAAGTCTCTAGTAGTCTCCTCTTATATCAATCCCAGCAGGTTTTTCCCACAGGCCAAGCTGTAGTTTAAGTTAACAAGGAACGAGTCTTAAATGTAATCTTGCGTGATTTGGCAGTAAATGGGTAAGTTGTGGCAGATTGCAAAACAAAATGCGCCTTGGCGGGCGGTGGCACGTCCGGGAACTGCTGGAGTGCTCACCTAGAGCCAGATTCACCAAGCAGTTACGCAGGTACTTACGAACGTGTACATCTTTCCTCAATCTGTGACGGCTTTAGTTACATTTATTAAACAGTTTACAAGAATGAAAACGTCCCAATCAACTATTGTAATTATTATAAACAGCCTCCTGGTGCTTCGGAGCTCATTAACTGTTTAATAATTGTAAACAAAGCCGTCAAAGATTGAGAAAAGATGTATAGGTTCGTAAGTGTTTGCGTAACTGCTTCGTGAATCTAGCCCCCTAATCAGCGAAGAGTTTTCTGTGACGTCATCGGCGGGCACCAAGACCTCCCCAAGGATTGAAGCTCGGCTCACTGTTGAGCTAGACGGGGCAACAAGACTCCGACCACACTGAGGTGGCAAGAGGACCTTTCTGGACTACGGTCGATCATGATTCTTCCAACGCTAGCTCCGGACCTCCCAGGACTACGGTGGAACAAGTGACATAGAAAAAGGCACCTGCTGAGAGTGGAAGAAACTTAATAACATGCAATATTCAGCAAAGGAAGCTGCAAGTACCTTCATTTTGACCCTGGTGGGTCAACGGAAAAGGACTGACCGTCGAAATCTAGTGACAGTGAGCTGGTCACACATGAGAGCTGGCGACACATGGGAGCTGGCGACACATGGAAGGTGGCGACACATGGGAGCTACACACCACTGAAAACACCATCGTTTCCTAGTTAAGTAATCTGCCCTCCCCTCTCCCTTGTTGAATAGGCGTTCCCAAGGGAACTTGTAGGGATTTATTATTATATATACATATGTATACATTCATGTGGTAGGATACATTGAGACTATACATATGAATAGAGTAACGTTAGTATTAGTGAAGGTCGAGAGCGGCCGTTGATTGCTGACTTGATTGAGACTATGCAAGACTAATGATTATTTATTTATATATTTCTTTTGTCATTAAATGTTCTTTTTAGCTTTAAACGTTGTGTTTATATGAACCTACATTACGGTTATGCCACGTTATATATAAATGGGAAAGTCTAACAGTAAGGTACTAGCCACTTGAGTACAGGAACAAAGATTAAATGAAATCAGGGAACGTAGCCTCATGTTCTATAGGACTAGAGCAGAGAAATGAAGTCATTTCTTCCACGCTGGGCGCAGGTGAGCACCCCGATGATCACAGTAGCTGGTGACCAGGTGTCCGAGGTAGACACCTGTCACTCTACCTGCCGCTCTCTGGGGACGGAAGGTAGCCTGGTGAGTCCCCAGTGGTGCTGCGAGGTCCCTGTGTTGTGGGGGGCAGGTGTACAAGGGTTACAAGCGCCCACTCCATCACGAGGGACAGTGAGTACACAGCCCCACAGTGAAGAGGGCAGTGACGGAGTGTCACCGGTGGAACTCCACGAGGCTCTGCTCTTTGATTTCCCCCGTGACAATATACACTGGGGGGACTGAGAGAGTATACATTGGGGGGACAGAGAATATACACTGGGGGACAGAGTGTATATACACTGGGGGACTGAGAGTGTATATACACTGGGGGACAGAGAGTGTATATACACTGGGGGACTGAGTGTATATACAGTGGGGGACAGAGAGACAGACAGCGATAGGTGAATACACACCTGGGGGCCTCGCGGCTGAGTGGATAGCGCTCGGGCCGTAGTCCTAAGGGCCCGCGTTCGATTCCCAGCCGAGGCAGAAACAAATGAACAGTTTCTTCCACCCTGATACCTCTGTTCACCTAGCAGTAAATAGGTACCTGGAAATTAGACAACTGCTTCCTGGGGATGTGTACGTGCGTTAGAGAAATATATGCAGTAGACATAATACAGGCAAAATCGATTGGTTAGAGAAGCGGGTCCCAAGAGCTAATATCTCGATGCTGCAGACACAAATAGTAAAATAGAAAGATTAAATACACACGAGACCCGGCTATACATTTCCCTGCGTCGCGGCTCGGCTCTATATCACCAATATCTATAATTAAATTTCCTCTTTGTTTGAGGAAGTCTTCGTTCCAGTGGAACTTATGTAAGAATTTTTAAGTTTGTGTTTGTGTGTTGAAATTTAGGGTGGATAATGTTGAGTGTTTACGAGGTCGTTAGCGTAAACAAGGGCCCGTC